ATTTGACAGAATCACCAGGCCTTGAGGAAAGTCTCAATGGTATATCCACCTATCGTATTCGTTAAGGGATGTCGGAGTAAGAACGACAAAAGGTAGTCCTGTTCACTCGTGCAGTAATGAATGTAGAGCTTATCGCCGCTGCCAGAAGGATGGGCTGCAAGCGCACTCCGTCCCTGCAATCGTCAGTGACCAAGTTGGAGCACATTGATGATTGGCTGGGACACTCACCAATGCGGAAGGTCTCATCGTCAGCATCCCTGAATGAAAGCACTTGCCACCCTCTACAATGCCGTCGGAATACTGATGTTACAATCCTTCGATCAACCGTCCTGACCAGATTGCTCACAGCTCTCAGGCTCCACCGACAGCCACGTTGCTTCCCTCCACCACAAGTCCCCATCTCAAGACGTCTCCTCACACAGGCATGCGTCGACATCAACTCCTCTCTTTGCCGCCAACAGTGTGGCGCATAAGTAAAAGCGAACTCCAAATAGTAAGTAGGTAAGGATGCCTGAAATTTGGCACTTCTCTTTCGACCCGTCGTCATTTCAATGACTCACAACCCAAACTCCTAATTCACTATCCTCAAAGGTGGCCACCTTCTTTACGCTAAACTCGATACAAGCCACTTGAGAGAGGCCGAAATCTCCTCACAAGTTGTACTTGCATTGGTGAGCGTTGCCGGTCAACATAGTAGGCCTGAGCGTGGCAGGCTGCACAATTTTATGTTGAGCGAATGAGGAAACGTGATTTGCCAGTGCTCGAGCATGAAGGAATAAGTTGTGACAACTTAAAGTGAAAGCGCGGGAACGTGTCTACATTCAGTATTTTTAAAATATCTGTGATGACGACTTCTTGGCGGTAATCAGAACAATGAAATTGGCGGACTCATCCAGGATAGTGCACTAACTTACGAAATCTGATTTGCAAACATGCACGATGTGATTAGGAGCTAATCGTGTTTGCTCATGACACGATGTAATGCAGACCAGCTGCATCTGCTGTGGTTAGGCCCACTTGTAGGATTGGGATGGACATTCATGTGCCACGTCTTGCTTGTTTGATGTGCAGAGAAGTTCTGCACACCGGAGAGTCCTTATTTTGCGGCGCTTGTGGGACTTGTTTCGACCTCTCGAACCGATTGCATTCCGTGGCGTCTACGGGAGGTGTTGCTTTACCTGATGTTGGCTTGACAGACAATGTTGTGCACG